CCGGCATTGACTTGAGCGCCTGCACGAAGTGGTGAGTGGCTGCCCCGAGCTCTCGTCTGTAGGCTGAGTTGGCAAGTTGAGTTGGCGACTGTTCAGGCTAAGCTTTTGCACCTTTCTGATCTGTTAGCTGTCCTCTCCTCCCTAGTCCCCACTCACCCTGCCCGCCACAAATGGCTGCCTTGACTATGATGAGGGATAAGCACGTTGAAGGGCAGCTGGCCCCTCAGGGCCCGCCAGATAGGGACCTCCCAGGGACCTGTGATGTGCCTTGTTGCCTTAGCACCTTGGAGCAAATGGCTGCTTACATGTGCCTCCCCACTGACTAACCATTCTTGAGAACTCAGTCTCTTTTATTTTTGAACTTTCAAAGTGTGGCTTGCAGTATGTGCTGACTAAATGTTGACTTGAAGCTGAAGCACTTGCTTACGAATGTCCTGGGTCCCTACTTCGTTTTTCTCTTTGCTGTGAGCAGGTGGCGCTTTGCTGAGTTTCAGTATCTGCAGCCGGGACCCCCAAGGCGGCTGCAGACTGTGGTGGTGTACCTGCCAGACGTCTGGACTGTCATGCCTCCTTTGGAAGAGTGGGAGGCCTTGTGTCAGCAGAAAGCTGCCGAGGCAGCGCCCCCAGCCCAGGAGGTGCCAGTGGTAAGGTGAAGCCTTCTGAACAGGTGGGGAGAGCAGGTACCCTGGCCCCCAAGCCCAGGTGGTCACAGCTCCTGGCTTTTGTCACAGAAAACAGAGCCTACAGAACAGGCAGCTGATGCATCAGAGCAAGCAGCAGACACATCTAAACAGAATGCAGAGAACCCGGAGGTCACCACACAACAGGAAGTGGACACTGATCTTCCAGAGGCACCTCCGCCCCCTCTAGAGCCTGCTGTCATGGCACACCCTGGCTGCGTAAACCTCTCCCTCCATGGTATTGTGGAGGACCGGAGGCCAAAAGAAAGGATCTCTTTTGAGGTAGGTGTAGGAGCCTGGGGAAACCGCTGGGGTAGTGTGTATGGGTGTGTGGTGGGTCTTGGAACACTCCATTTTTTCCTGACGCTCAGGGACCCCTGCTGCCTCTTTCACCAGGTGATGGTGTTGGCTGAGCTGTTCCTGGAGATGCTGCAGAGGGACTTTGGCTATAGGATTTATAAGATGCTGCTGAGCCTTCCTGAAAAGGTTGTGGCCCCACCTGAACCTGAAAAGGAGGAGGTGGCCAAGGAAGAAGAAGCAGGCAAGGAGGAGGTGGCCAAGGAGTCCAAGGATGAGGTACAGAGTGAGGGCACAGCCGCCGAGGCAGACGTCCCACCGGTGAGTACCCCTGCCTTGCACGGGCACTGGGGCTACGTGCAGCCACGCGGCCCTGAGCACCCGATGGGCCTTCTCTTGGCACTCCTCTCACTCACCGCCCGTGCCTTGAGACCCAAGTGTGTGCTCAGGTGTGGGGTGCTTCACCCTCGCACAGCCACACGACTAGTGGGTGCTGTGCTAGGCGGGAGGTGGGCTGGAGGAGGGGAGGGAAGTGTGGTTGGGTTGGTGTGGCAGCATGGGGATCTCGGAGTGAGTGCTCTGAGGAGGGTGGGGGTGTGGTTGACCAGCATACTGTATTTTCTTAACGCTGTCGAAAGCACGTGGGGCTGCTTCTTGCCTAAATGAACTCTCTCACATAGACCCCCGAGCAGAATCCTAGGTGTCTCGGGAGAGCACCCTGGTCTGCCCTGAAGCCCATCATGTAAAGTGTCCCACGAGACGGCGCATGCAGGCCCTTTGCAAGGCCCGCCTGTGGCCAATGCTCAGTGTTAGCTGTTGTTATCGTTAGTTACTGCAGGTGACAGTCTTCTTCCTCTTGGTCTGTCTCCCACAGAAGGAGGATGGGCTTTTGCCAAAACCCCTATCTTCTGGGGGAGAGGAAGAAGAGAAGCCCCGGGGGGAGGCGTCTGAGGACCTCTGTGAGATGGCCCTTGACCCGGAGCTGCTGCTGCTGAGGGACGATGGCGAGGAGGAGTTCGGTAGGTGCCGCTGGGTGGGGCGGGGCGGGGCGTGGGTGCCGGCTGGCGGCATCCTGACTCTGGCCCCAGGTCTCCGGTTAGGACTGGAGCCCGTCTGTCCAAGTGGCCCCTGCACCTCGCTCATCTCAGGCTTTCTGTAGCAGGAGCCAAGCTGGAGGATTCCGAGGTCCGGTCTGTGGCCTCCAACCAGTCAGAGATGGAGTTCTCTTCCCTTCAGGACATGGTAAGACCTCTGTTCTGCCCGTCCAGCCTCAGTGACAGTGACACTCAGGAAGACCTGGGTCAGTCCTTGGATACTTCTGCCAAATGACTTCAGTATTTATTGACAAAAGACAAAACGTGGTTCTTGGCTCATGGAATGGCATTTCCATGGGGTCTAGGAGTCATTTCAGTGTCTCTCCTGGGGTGAATCCAAGTGGAGTGACCGGTCTGGGAGCACACAGGGTTCCCCTGTGTGAGACATCCCTGAAGCCCCGAGTGCTGGGAACCAGCCTTTGCTTGTCGGCCCAGGGTCAGGTCTCCGAAGGGAAGGTGCTCCCGGTGTGATCATGTCAGCCAGCCCACTCGGTGTACACGGGCTGTGTCCTGGGTGACTTGGCCACTGAGACAACTACTTGTAACCGTATTCTTCCTTGTTTCTCGTGCAGCCCAAGGAGCTGGACCCCTCTGCCGTGCTCCCTTTGGATTGTCTTCTCGCGTTTGTCTTCTTTGATGCCAACTGGTGTGGCTACTTGCACCGGCGAGACTTGGAGAGGATTCTGCTTACCCTTGGGCTCCGGCTCAGTGCGGAACAGGTGCCTTCCCTTGCACCCCCTTTTGGTCCTTTCTGGGGGCCTCACCTGCCGTGATGTGCACAGGCACACACCTGGTTCCTGTGGGGGACTCAGATGACACTCTAGTTCTAGGTTCTTCCACACTTGGGGGCTTGCGTCTGCTCATCAGAGGGGATCTTGGGTGTGTGTTTGCTGTAGGCCAAGCAGCTGGTCAGCAGGGTGGTGACCCAGAACATTTGCCAGTACCGCAGCCTGCAGTACAGCCGCACGGAGGGCCCGGACAGCGGGCTTCCTGAGGAGGCGCTCTTCGGTGCGTACCAGTGCTGTGCAGCCTTCCATGCAAGGACAAGCAGGGCGGCTGTCTCCTCCCCCTGAGACCCAGTCCTTACTCCTTTTCACGGCCCCACTAGGAAACCTGGACCTGCTACCTCCTTCTGGGAAAAGCGCAAAGCCAGGAGCTGCCCCCACGGAACACAAAGGCCTGGTGTCCCACAACGGCAGCCTGATCAATGTGGGGAACCTGCTGCTCCGTGCAGAGCAGCAGGACAGCGGACGGCTCTACCTGGAGAACAAGATTCATACACTGGAACTGAAGCTGGGTGAGTGGTCTGTGCTGTGGGGGCCTGTGGTGATGGGCTGTGTAGGCATGTCCACAGAGCCCAAGAGGGAACCCTGCTCCTCAGGCTTCAGGCCTCTCGCCCTGTACTTAGGTCTTTAACTTAGCAGCAGTCTTTCTGGTATGTTCCCACCAGAGGAGAGCCATCACCGCTTCTCAGCCACTGAAGTAACGAATAAGACACTGGCAGCAGACATGCAGGAGCTGCGCACCCGGCTGGCTGAGGCCGAAGACATGGCCCGCACGGCGGAGCGACAGAAGAACCAGCTTCAGCGGCTGCTGCACGACTTCCGGAGACGCCTGACCCCCCTGCAGCTGGAGATGCAGCGAATGGTTGAAAAGGTGAGCCGCAGGAGAGCTGGTGCGGAGTCAGGGGCTTGGTCACGGTGATGCCAGGTCCACCTCGCCTCCTCCCCCAGCCACTGGTTTCTTAGGGAGTCCATCACTCAGCTCCTTGCTCCCAGGAGGCAGTGGATAGTAGTTTTTCCTCCTTGGGTCTAATTCTTGTGCCATCTGTTTCAAACAGGCTGACAGCTGGGTAGAGAAGGAGGAGCCAGCACCTAGCAACTGAGGGGCCTGGCGCAGGTGCTGCCGTCCTGCGAGGTCAGCGATGGAGCCTGCTGAAGTTAGAGCCCTTTGGTTCCAGAAGGAAGCTGGAGCAGGACCTGGGAGTCGAAGGCGGGCGCTGAACCCTGTGCTCAGCCTGTGTAGGGAGCTTGGGACGGGGTTGCCTGTGCTGTGTGGGACGGACGAGTGAGGAGCCGGTTCCACTTAACTAAATCCAACATCTGCACCCCTTGAATGTCATTTTGCCCTCTACCTTGGGGTTTCTCCTGGGGCCCTTTAGTCTTGTGCTTTCTCCTGTCCTCTTCCAGATTAGAGTAAGACAGGGGAGGAAAAGGCTTTCGACTGTCCTAAGGTCTGATGCCAATAAATGAAGAAACAGACGTGGAATCTGGCTGGGGTAAGAGCCCTTTCTCCAGATGGCACAAACCCTGCTGGGTCACAGGAGCAGGTTTGGGACGCGTTTCCTGTGGCCTTTGGAGGAATGAAGTCAGTGCCAGCGAGCCTTGCGCTTGGGCTGTCTGCCAGTGCACACTGTTGCAGCCACCCCGGACTTGCCAGAAGAAACCAGCACTTCAGCTCCCTGGCTCCCGGTGTTCAGAATGTGGTATTGGCTCTGGCCCAGCCTTTTTCCCTGTTCCCCATACGTCTCGCCTCTTTCCATAACCCGTGGTTTCAGTTTGACTTTGTATATAAAGTTGTTTTTTTTTTTTTTTTTTTGCTTTTTGTTTTTTAAATAAACCAAAGTCAAAACAAACCAAGTGCCCTCCATGGCTTTTCCCTTCGTCCTCTTCCAGGTCTGCTTGTGCTCCTGCCCTTCCTCCTGGCCCTTGGCCCAGCTTCTGCTGGATGGAGGTGGAGTGGCCTTCCAAAGGTGGGCAGGGTGTCAGGGAGAGTGAGCCGAGCCCCCTTGCTCCTGACCTTGGCTGCTGGCTGCTCAGGGGAGAGGATGCTGTAGTGGCCCTGCCGGCTCAGCAGGGGGCAGTGTTACCCTAAAAAAACCTGAGGTGGCTGTCCTCTCTTTTCCTTAGTTACAGCACAATAAAACAAGAACATTTACTGAAAACTTTACTTGAAAAAATAAAATTCCAAATATCCAGGTGAGACACAACCCACTGCTGTGGCTTTGAGGCCCGTGAATTGGCCCGTGAATTTTTGTGGTAGGACATTTGCACAAGGTGCAACCTGTTGTTACGGAAACTTCAGGCTGGGGGGGGGGTCTTCCCTGCCCTTGACCAAAAGGATAGAAGTGGGCTGAGCGAGCCTCTGTGGTGCTGGGAACCTGGGCGAGGGCCAGTCAGGGCTGGGGGACCACAGCACTCATTCTCCAGGGCAGTATCGTGACCCTCTCCCAGGAAGGAGAGTAGGGGGAGGCTGAAGGGTGGGTGGACTCCCCAGGACAGGTCTTTAGGAGGTAGATACGATCCGACCCTGCAAATGGCTGGGACCGCTTGCGAGCTGACGGAGCCTATGACCTTCGCAGGCTGGGAGCCCGCTCTGGTGCTGGGCCAGGGGCAGTTGTGGAAATAAGAAAGCAGTTCTAGGCTGCTAACCTGTCCGGGGGCTCCTGCTATGGGTGGGGAGATGGCAACCTGTTTGGGGCTCTGGGTGCCAGGCTCATTCCAAAGGGCTGCTGAGGCAGGGCGGGGGGCCTTGAGCCCCCCCAGTTCTCCCAGAGAAGGCCCCATCGATGGCTGGGGCCTGGGCCCAAGCTGGGCAAGGTCAAAGCCTGGAGAGGCCGACGTGTGCTCCAGGAGTCTTCCCGAGTCCCAGGCTCAGTCATCAGCCACAATAGAGAGGGCTCTGAGCTCACTCAGTTTAGCCTCATTCTCCCGTTCTCGCTGCTCGTCGGAGTGGCCAGGCTGGTCCAGCTGTTGGCTCAGGTCTCCAAAGATCTTGTGCATTTCAGAGTAGTAGACCACCTGGGTGGGAGGAGGGGCAGGTCAGTGGGGCTGGGTTCCTGGCCCCCAGCCCCACAGCACTGCCCTCTCTGGGCCAGGTTCTGCTGGTCCCTCCCCCGCTGCACTCCCCCTCAGCGGATCTCCCTAAACTGCATGGAAACCAGGGAGGAGTGAACCACTGCCTGCAGCCCTTTGGGACGGTCCACTGCTTGGGGTGGCAGTAAGTCAACAGGCGAGGGAAGCAACAGATCCTCGGGAGGCGGGAGGTGGAGGTGGGAACTCTGCCTTCTCTCCAAGCAGCGCAGTGGGGTGTGCATGTGCTGGGTGGTGGGGGGACAGTACGCCCCAGGCTAGGGATGGGGGAGTGGGAGGATGCTTGGCAGGTTCCAGGGGGGCCAAGGGAACCAGGCACAGTGACTACAGCTCAGTGCTTCATAGAAGTGATGAGAAGCCAGAGGCTTGTGTTTGTGAGGAGCGGGCAGGGCAGGTTCACAAAGCCCTGAAGGCTGGTCTTTGGAAGGTGACAGTGGTGACACTTCTTAGCTTTCCATTCCTTCCCTGCTGTGTCAGTGTCAATCATACCTAAGGTGCTTGGCCCAGGTGGACAATGTCAGGCACGGGGTGTGGGGTGAGGTGTGGGTGACTCACACACACGGCTGAGGGCTGACTGGACCCAGGGCCTGAGGCTTTGTCGGGAGAGGGGACAGAAGCCATTCTTGCCTCAGCCTCCACCTCTAGACAAATGGAAGTGTGTATTTCCATGAAAGTGTTCCACACTATTCAAAATGTCTACATTGTATCATCTCCAGCTCCAAGCTGTCCTTGGGGAAAAGGGCCTCTACTACTTTAGAAACCCAGAGTGCCATTACTGGTAAGGGCATGCCACATTGCATGTTTGGTGGCAGGAGCATGGCTGAACTGCTTCTGAGAACATGTCTCTCACGTCCAAGGCTCTTACATCCTGTCACCTCAGGGTATGGGGCCTGGGCTAGTGCTGGGGGGGGCGGGCGGGCAGGGGATGGCACCCCACCACCACCCTGAGCTGCACTGCTGGCTGAGTCATTAGGATGCTCACTTCTCCAGTGACTAATGGCAGGGCAGCTGAGGGAGGGGAGGCTGGTGCCGAGGAGGCAGCAACACCCCCGGCCACCCTGCTGCCTGGTGACAGGGCATCCCAAGCTCCCCAGCTGCTCCACCCGGGGCACGCTGAAGCCTCAACCCCTGGAGCTTCCTCCCCAAGCACAGGATGTAGGAGGTAGGACAGCCTGCAGGGGGCAGGGGCCGGAAACAGGGGTGGTGATGGTGTAGGAGGCACGGTGTGCAGGAGGGAAGACACAGGGCATGCCACAGGCCCAGGAGGAAGCTGCTGGAAGGAAGCCCTCACCTACAGGGCAATGCTCCGGGGCAAGGGTGGCTTTCTGCCTCGCTTTACCTCAGCGACCAAGGACATGATTACTAACAAGTCCCAGTCCAACATCAACCCTGCTCAGGGTTCCTGATCCCAGTACAAATCCCATGGTTTTGGTGTGGGATGGCAGGGACTAAAGATGGCAGGTGGTGAGGCAGGAATCGGGCTTTTCTTTGGGCGCCAATGATTGTGGACTCTGCAAGGAATGACAGTGTCCACTGGGGGGCGCCAAACACCAAGGCCAAGAGATGGAGGGCTGGAGGTGGATGGAGACCTGATGAGCCTTTAGCTTTGCTACCTGGTGGGCACAGGTGGGAAAGGTGGCAGGGTGCTGAGCACCTAAGGTCAGCTGGGGGGCACACGTGGGGGAGACTCCCTGGCTTTGGCACCTCAGCCGTTCCTCTGGGACTGAGTGGCAGGAGACAGGGCTTGCTGGCTGCCTGGTCTTGGTGCTTCTGCTGGGCACCTGCCCCCATGCCCCTGCCTGCCTCTCCTGCTGGAAGGTGTGCCGTGCCCCCCGGGCCCCAGGCCCCAAGTGTGGCTCTCCCCAGGGTTCAGGGGCCCCTCCAAGGGTTGCTAAAAGTCCAGATACTCTGTGGTCTCCCACCAAAGGAAGAGGAGTAACTAGGTGGGGATGGGTGTGTAGGGTCCTCAGAAAAGGGACTTCACCCCATAGGCCTCTATCCCTGACTTCCTAAGCAGACCAGGCAAAGAACCCGCCCATCAAAGTGAGGGGCTGATGGTGCAGCCTCATTTGTTCTTGTTGCTGGGGTGAAATGTGAGCGAGACCTTGAGGGAAGAGCTGTTAAACAAGAGACCTCGTCCTAGGGTGGTACCAACCAAAGGGCAATGCAGGAACAAAAACAGAAATTCCAGCAACTGACCAGACCCCTGGGTCCCTTCCTTGGGGGCAGCGCCGGGGCCAGGCTGGGTGGCTGTCTTGGCAGAGAATGGCTGAGGCCCCTTCCGGTGTGGGGAGCGGCAGCTGCCATGAGGTGTGTCTGCGAAGCCCATGACTGTCTCTGGAGAGGAAGCGTGGGGCCGGCCCTTGGGGCCCAGGGTGCAGGGCTGCCTCACCTGTGCTCGGATCAGGGACTCGAAGCTGGGCTGGAAGTAGTCGAGCCGACTGTTGTAGAACCTCGGCATCTCATCTAGGAGCTGCTTGTTCTTGGCCTCAAAGTCCTCCCGCACGGGCCGCAGCTCTTCCCGGGCCTGGGGAGCAAGAGTCTGGCTGTCAGAGCCCCCAGTGGCTCACCCAGCCTCCCTGCTGGGGGGCCCATGCATGTGCGCATGTGTGTATGGGAGGGGGGTCAGAGGACCAGATGTCTTGGTCCTACAGCCCCCAGGCTGGCCCCCAGGGAAAGGGGGCCCTGCGGCCCACTGTCCACCCTCCCTCCCGGGTACCTGGTGGAGTTTGGCCAGCACTGGCGCTGTCTTCTCCTTTTCCTCATACTTCTCCACCTTGGCCTGCAGCCTCCTGTAGTCCTGCAGGGCCTGCTCCCGCCGTTTCACCGCCATGTTGAGGCTTGGGAAGACACTGCCGAACCTGCCGACACAGGCGGGTTGGGTGCAGCCCGTCGTTCACTCAGAAACACATACTGAGTGCCCACCTGAGAAGTGCTAGGTCCTGTCCTAGGTCTTGGGGGTTTAGCTATGAATGAGACAGGTGGGGCCCTAGCCCCGGGGAAAGAACACGAGGCTAAGGGTCACGCCCCTGGCCTGAGCAAGACACAATGGGTCATGAATCCATGAGGCCACTGATGCTGCCACTGCCCCCACTCCCAGCCCCACACCACAGTCTTGCAAAGGGCAAGGCAGAGCCGGAGACTCCTTGGAAGTCATCTGGCCAACATCTTCCTTTTACAAAAATGAAAGAAACTGAGGCTAGAGAGAACCTGACATGTCCAAAGTCATAATTAGGTAGTGATGGTCCAGAGAGAACCCAACGTCTCAGTTCTGCCAGGCACCTCCCCAATGTCTCAGATGCCACCAGCAGGTGGCAGAATTGCAATCAAAACCTCCAGTGGCAATCACTTCATAAGATATATACGTGTCCTATCAGTATGTTACATACCAGAAAGGGATGTAACATCCTATGTCCACTATTCTTAAATAATATTTAAAAAAACTTTTCATAAAGAGGTTTCTAACAAGCCCAAAAGCCTCTCCAAACAAACACCCCCTGCTTCAGCCTCACCCCCACTAGTGGACCACAGAGAAAGCAGGGTGTCTCTGGCCCCACCCCTGAAACAGTCCAACTGCCCCAGCAGGGGTGGAGGTCAATAAACGAGTGGTGGAGAAGGCAAGGCAAGCCTGTGCACAGGGCTTCTGAACAGGACTGGAGAAGATGAGGCGGGAGGTGCTACCACGCAGCTGGTGGAGGCCTGGCCGTGCCACAGAGGAAAGCAGCAGCGTGGCAGGTCTTCAGGGTTGAGAAGCCCAGGGAAAGTCAGCTCCTCCTGGAGCAACCCAGGGGAGATGAAGGGCTGGGAGGGGCCGCTGCCGGTTTCAGCCTTGCATCGTGCTCTCGGAGCTAGGAGGGCATCTGAGCTCATGGGTTGCCTTTTAATTCAGACACTATGTGGAGAGTAATTTACAAGTTGGGCTCTCCAAAGAACATGACCATGAATTTAATTTTTAAAAACCTCAACAGCTCTGGCTGGTGTGGCTCAGTGGATTGAGCAATGGCCTATGTACTAAAAGGGTCGCTAGTTCGGTTCTAGTCAGGGCATATGCCTGGGTCACAGACTAGGTCCTCAGTGGGGGCTGTGTGAGAGGCAACCAATCGCACATTGATGTTTCTCTTCCTCTTTCTCCCTCCCTTCCCCTCTCTCCAAAATTAAATAAAATCTTTAAAAAAAAAGCCTTAACAAATCAAGAGCACATGTCATATAAGAGTAATGAACACTTCTGCCACAGGATGCAGAATGCAAACTTGACCACAGCATTAATAGCTCCAAGCAAAACTTTAGACCTGGGCAGTGGATTCTGATGAGAAAGGGGGCTAAAGCGAGTCTTTCTCACTTAATGGGTACCCACAATGGGCTCACCCTAACTGGAAACTCAAAGTGGATAAACCCACACAAACGTTTCTGAAGCCTCAGCCACGCGCCCCTTCACCCAGTAATCAAGTTGATGTTTTTAAATGACAGTTCTGCCAGGCAGAAGACGGAGACCTCCTGGGTGCCAAGCGCACTGGCTGGGGGACCGGCCACCTCCAAGATGCAGGGCCCCTGACGTAGGTGTGAACAGGTGAGTCCCCCAAGAGGAGCTGTGAGTGTACTGCTCCGGCCCCAGGCGGCTGCCCTGCTGGGGTCCCTGTTGCTGGGGGAGCCTGGCCTTCCTGGGAGGAGTACACCAGTAGCTGAGAGGCAGCAGGTGCTGTTGGACCTGAAAAGCCATCACACCATCTCACTGTCCACCCCAACTGGACCAGGGGCCAGCAGCAGTCACCCTGGCTCTCTTGGGAGAAGCCGCCTGCTGCCTGGGTGGCCCCGGCGCCTGGGCCTCTGCTGTCCGGGATGAGCAAGGCGTGGGTCTGGCGGTTCCAGATTTCCACGTGCTGCCGGGCGACCTCAGTGGCTGCACCCGCAGGATGCCACCTAGGCCTCCTGGGAGCGAGACCACCTGCATCTGTGAGGAAGAGGTGGCTGCGGCGGGAGCTGCTTGCTGTTGCTGTTAGACCCTCCAGGAAAACTCTTCCTCCGCCAAGGTAACTTCTGCTTCCCCCAGCAGCGCCCCTCAGTCAAACCATGAGGCCATGGGAGGCCAAGCTGGCTTACTTCACTGTACACAGCGCATTGATCACCTGTGCTCAGGTGGCTTTGGCCCTGGCTTGGGGACTCCTCAGGGGTATGGGCAGGTGTTGCTGTTGTCACAGTAAAGTGGGGAAACCAGGGTGAGGCAGGGAAGATCAGGCGGTGTATTCTGAATGGCTGACAAGAGTGGGGGGCTCTGCAATCCTGACTCTGGGTTGCTGCCCACTGAGGCCTCACCTCCCCACCGTCTACTTCGAGGCACCAGAACAGACTTCGCCAGCCCCGCAGGTCGGGTGCGTAAACAGTGCAATGCTGTGCGAGGGGAGGGCCTTGTCTGGTAGCAGGACCCCCTTCCCCATGTGGGGTGCTTTACTGCTTTCCTCCACCTTCAGATCACAGGAGGTAAGTTAGCAAGGAGGTGAAGTCGAGCACAGGCTGGTCCCCAGGACCTGGGTCCTCCCAAATGTGCCCCCAGGGGTTCTACAGAGGTACCAGGTGGCTCACCTGGCAAGCGGTGGGACCAGCTCTCCCTGAGGTGTTAAGTCCGCACTCTCACCAGGCAGGCTGCCACAGAGCCAAGCGCCCTGCTCCCCCTCTCCTGCCATCAGAAGTGAGGGGGACAGGAAGCTCCTGTGGTGGGGCCCCCGGGGTTCTCAGTGCTGCATGTGAGGCTCAACTTGCCACTCTGGCCCTGGACACCTCCCTCCCCTGCTGCCCACCGGCTGTGCAGCTCCGAGAGTTCAGGTGGGCACTCCCTTTCCACAGGTGGAAAAAGAGACTCTGAGGACCAGGCCCTGGCCAAGGTCACAGGCTGGGTCAGGGCAGGCTGGGACTGCCCGTCCAGCACTTCCCCATTCTGCCGCGCCATGCTGCCTTGGCGGGTGTCCTAGTGGTCCACTTACTTTTGACCCCACCCTGGCTTCTGCACGAAACATGGTGCCTGAGCTCTGTCTATCCTCAGAGACGGGAGGACGGGGCTGCGCCTCCACCACGAACTCGCTGAGGCTCTGCCCACAGTGACTGCCTACTTTTTGCCTGTCCTAAGGTTCAACAGCAAATTCTCTCCCCTGGGTAAGGCTGGGGTGAAGGCAGTGAGGAGGCAGGAGGGAAAGGGGGAGGCAGATCGAGGCCGGCTGGGCGGTGGGCTGGGAGCAGCCGGTCCCGGTGGGGAATGCCTGCCATTCCTCAATCTGTGCCCACACAGCCGGCATCTTCCACCCACCAGGAAAGGGAAATTGAAAGCATCCCCATCCGACCATGTGAACACAGCCCAGGGACTGGGGGATTAGAGGCCGAGCCCCCTGGGGGGAGCCTGGGGGCGGTGGGGTGGCCATGTGGCAATGCTCTTCATCAGAGGACAGGAAAGCTGCAGTTTCCTGCTTCCGGTACCGGGGTCCCTGGGAGCTTCTCTCCTGGCAAGAGGAGGCAACAGGCAGTGCCGGTTTTCTGTGGTCGGGGGATCGCGTGTCGGCTCGGGATGCACGGCAGCCAGCCCAGGGACGGGCAGGCCCGGGCTCACGTGGAGGTCAGCGGATCCGCTGCGGAGATGGTGCCCGCCCCCTCTGCCACTCACCCACCTTCCTGGCAGGTGGCGGGCTGCTGGGTAGTGGGAAGCAGCCGGGATTTCTCTGCACTTGGCTTCTGAAGCCCAGCATCAGATTTCAAGGCTGCCTTGTTGGCTGTGAGATCAAGACAGGAGCCAGTCCCCCAGTCCTCTGAGCCGGTGTCCCCTGCCCAGTTCTGCCAGCCATGGGTGTCCACGCAGCTTCCGTCGCAGCCCCAGAGGCCCCCATGAATGGGGTCTGCTCTGCCCTTGGTCCTTCCCAGCCAGCTCTGAACCCTTGGTCCTGGAGACCATGTCAGAATGCCACAAGCCCTGGGCAGCCTCGTTGGCGCCCCGTTGCTGTGCACATGACCCTGTGACCCGGGGTCAGCAGGGTTAGGGCCAGGGCCCAGGGAAGGAGCAGGGGTGCAGGGAGAAATCAGCCCCCCTGCAGTGGCTGAGCCTCCAGGTAGCGCAGCTGAGACAGAACTCTTCAGATGCTCACCCCTCAGCCCTAGGCAGTACGGGAGGGGCCCCACACCCCACAGCCCCTGCACCAGCCAGAGGTCAAACCTGCTCCCTCATCTCCCTCAGGGCCCGGACCCAGCCTCACAGTGATTAGCAGAGCCTCGGTGCCTGGGCCCGCTGAGGCCGAGGCCAGGGCCCACCATGGAGAGGTAATTAAGTGCAGCTGCCGGGCTGAGCTGGCCTTTCCAGGTCAGAGGCTGCCTGGGAGAGGCTGGGGAAAAGCCCAAGTGATTCGGAAGCTTCAAGGCAATGCCCACCCCTAGGGGTCCTGGGGAATAGGCCGTCTGATCGCTGCCCAGAGCCTGCCTGACAGAACTTCTGACCGATAGGTCACGAGTTAGGGGTCTTCCCAGGCGGGACCCTGTGGCCGCACCCTTCCCCATGTGCAGCCTCCCCCACATTTCAGAAGCCGAGTGCTTCAGGCAGCTGCTCCCCCTGTCCGGCTGGGGGATGAAAGGCCTCACCCATCTCCGCGGAGGGCTGGCCACAAGCCTCGCTGGCTTAACTCAGCAAGCTCTGGCTCTGCCAGTCTGCCACCAGGGACAAAGGGGAAATGGCAGAATGGCCACTGGAGCAATGGCTGCTGCCTGCAGGGTCACAGGTGCCCTGCGGCTACCAGGAGTGTCAATCCTAGGGCCACAGGTCATGGAGCTGCCACCCCATTGTGCTCTCTGTCAACCACACCTCTAAGGACAGGCTGCTGGAAGGGAAATTCAGTCTGCAGGCGTATATGGGCCCTGACCTAGTTCCCTGAGCCCCGGGTCCCCGATGGCCTCTACTCACTTCTTCAAGGGTTCAATCACTGTCTTCTGAATCTGGTTCACCTGTCAGAAGGAAAACCCAATGACATCAAAACCAGGGTAAGCCAGACTCTTCCTGAAGGGGGAGGCTCCAGTTCCTGAGGAGAGAAAGGGGGCCTGACAGGCAGGGAGACGACCAGGGCAGCACAGGTGAGGTGGGCGCCCTGAGCCCGGGGTGAGGCAGAGACGGCGACCGGGAAGCTGGAGGGCCACAGGACTGTCCTGTCCTTGTCACTGGGAAGCCCTTCACCTGCCAACTGCTGTCTGCCCAGGCCAACAGTGGCCTTGCTCAGCGGGGCGGCCAGTCACGGCCTCACTGGAATAATGTGAGCTCGTGGGAGCCACAGGGAGCAGGCCCACCAGGAAGAGCTCACAGGACTTGGGCGCGCAGGCCTTGGGGGCAGAGGGCTCCCCGAGTGGGGCCCGAGCCTTTTATGTAGGTGTCCCACCAGACAGGGCCACGAGAGGGGGAGACCCAGACCCCGTCACCTTTTCCTGGTTGAAGGCATCCATCCGCTTCATGGCTGTGTCCAGGGCGGTCACCATGTTCAGAAAGTCCTGGTCTTGCTCACAGAGGGGGTTGGAGAGCAGGTCCAAGGACACCTTCACAGCTGACTTGGACATGGCTATAAGAAGTCAGAGCTCAGGGACCTTGCGAAGGGACTGGTGTCCAGGCCTTGTTGCTAGGGCTCCCTGTCGTCCCTCAGTCCAGGGCCTGCACCCAGGTGACCTGTACTGATGGCCAGAGGCCACACAACCTATAAAGTGCCATAGAGCACCAGACACTAGTCCTCACTGCATAATGCTCATTCCTGACCACACGACGCTACTCTGGATAATGTTTGGGGCACCTTTACCTGTGGGCAGTGACAGTATTCCCAGCTCTGGGTTGTAACAAGCTCATCTGGGTGGGAAGCTGTGAGAAATGCAGATGTCTAGCCGCAAAGTTCTAGGTCGGTTAATCTGGACTCCAGGACTATGCATCTCAGAACACCTGTCCTGGTGGCAGGAGGTGCCGCGTGGTGTGGGGTCTGAGAGTGGCTCAGCTCGCTATGGCAGGGGCAGGCTACTGTGAGGAGCTGGAGAGCCCGGACTGCAGGCTTGCAGGCCGCATGGTTCCTGCTGCCACGACTCAACTTTGCCACAGACAACACCTAAAGAATGGGTGTGGCTGTGTTCCAATAAAACTTTATTGACAAAAGGAGGCCAGGTTTGGTGTAACTAGGCAACCCCTCGTTTCAGTGATACACAGGAGTAAGAAAGGAAGCAACAGGTCACAGCCCGTACTAGAAAGGCAGTGGGGAACGATAAAGATGCCATCCAGGTAACTCGGAACCAACTTCAAAACAAATAACAGACGGTATCCAAAAGCAGCCCTTTGGCTTGCGGCACACATAGTTTGGAGTCACCAGGGCCAGGACGGAGGGCTGTCGTGTTCCGACGCGCCCATGTCCTCAGAACGCACTGCTCGGGGCTCCATGGCACGAACCACAGGAGCCAGCAGGCCGCCTGGCTGCGCCCGGAGAAGGGACGAGTGGGGATCTGCTACATGAAGAGTGACCTCGAGCCACTTCTCAGGGACATCCGCTGGGCATCTACGAAGTGCACTTACTTCAAGCCAGCCCTGAGGTGACTGAGGGAGGAGGGCATCCACCTGTGTCCACCCAGTCCAGCCCGCGGTATGGGCCACCTACCCAGGTCGGCATCGGCACTCTTCTTCATGTCCTTTTGTAGCCTCCTGGTCTGCTCTTCCAGCCTGCAAGGCAGAGCCAGAGGCTGGTACCTGGCCTCTCCAACTGGCTTTGGCTCTTTTCCAGCTACCTGAGGGAAGCCCAACCTGCTTCTCTGAAATGCCTGCCAGGAGGACAAGGGGCCCTTCTGCGGGGAGGTTCCCACTGACCGAAGGACCACTACAGGCTTTGCATGAGGCCAAGCATCCAAAGGTTACAAGTTCACGACTGTCACACAGCTATCAGCTGGGGGACAATTTGTGGCAGGTAGTGAGCTGAGCTGCCTTCGGACCCCAGGGTGGTGATGAGCCGGCAGATGAAACCTTGCGGGCAGTGAGACCTGGCAGATGGCCCTGCCCTCTCCGACCCCAGCACCCCCCTCCCCGGCCATGACACTCACTGCTGCAGCTTTCCATACTCCCTTTCAAAGTCTCTCTCCACCTGTAATGAGAGCGACACCTCGGTCAGCGGAGAAATGACAGCACACTGGAAAAAATCTGCCAGCCTCCTGACACTCCCTGTATGCCCTCCCTCATTGACAGAAATGCCATCCAGGTCCTGCAGGCGCCAGCAGGTCACCAATGGCGCAGTACCCTGTGTTCCCAAACTAATTAAGTGTCTAGTGAGGGCGAGAGGCTGGCCTCCCAGATGTGCCAGCCAGGCAAGTACCAGCGGATTACCAGCAGGCCGCAGCTCGGCACTCCCACCGCAGGGAGTGAGGCGCAGGGCCACGCTCCCTGTCCTCACCCTCCTCGCCCCCCCACCCCACAGGTGAGCTGCTCAGCCTGTGACTGGCACTCAGCCAGGGAGGCCCAGGAGGTAGAGCGAAAGGGTGGGATATGGACTTCAGTTCTGTCTCTGCCACTCAGCAGTTCTGAGGCAAGACCCGGGCAAGTTACCTCTATGGTCACAGGTCATACTACCTGCTAGCTTCAGGGTAGATCAAAAAAGATCATGTGTCCCCGCTCTGTGTGCTGGGATGCACCAAACACAGATACTAGAACTAGACTCCAGCCAGGCTAAGTTCCTGGTTTAGTTAGTTATCAGATTTCCCCAATGCCAGCAATATTTAAACCAAACTGTGAGTCCTGGACCGAATTCTGTCACCTACATGTCAGGTGAAGTCCAGAGAGTGACTTGTACTTCCATGGCTGAATTTCCCCATCTGTGAACCGGGCCTCAGCAATGGCCTCAGGCCAAAGGCCTGCGAAGTGATTGACAGCCGAGAGCCTAAAGGAGGGGGTTGGGGGGGGGGCAGGCAGGAGGCTTCCCCTTCCAGGACAGAGTACTCCTGGCTGCCTCACCTCGGGGAGCTCCAGGCTTGAGGCACTCTGGAAGTGAAACCTGCTCCATTCACCGAGTGTGCCGTCCAGGCTCGCAGGGCCATCTTTACCCCAGCTCTGCTGGGGGCAGATGCACCCACAGCCCTCACGGTACTCAGGAGGTCACAGGGACAGAGGTGAAGCCACCTGTGCATGGGCACACCATTACGAGCAGCCAAGCACGCAGGCCTGTGCTCTTAACTGTAACGCCCCCAAGGGGGGAAAGTCATTTGCTGAGGAATTAAGGCCACGACCTAAGAAAGATGACTTCTGGGCTGTGCCCCTGAGACCCCTGCCAGTGCGACCCCTCAGTCCTGTCTCTCGGTTACAGGCTGAGGTTAGGGAGTGCAAATCTGCAGCACCCGTCAAAGTCACACCACTCTTCACCGCAGGCCCTACCATCAAAGGCGCCCCGTGGGAGAGCATTCTAAACCCCATCAACCTCGCACACCACGCCACGCTTGAATGTGGGTACGCTCAGCACAGTCACAGACTGGCAGGATGTGACTGGGGGCCGGTACCTCATGTAATACGTGAGGGAATGGAGCCCAGAGAGGGGATGTGGTTGATGTAAGGATGCAGGGCTAGTGAGTGGCAAAACAGGGCCAGAATTCAGACTCCTAGTTCAGGCCTTTTATTCCTTGTTTTAAACGGCATTCATTCAGCTCTAGCCAGTGTGGGTCAGGTGGCTGGGGCATCATCCCATAACAGTAACTGAAGGGCTGTGGGTTCAATCCCCAGCCCAGGCGTGTAGGAGAGGCAACCAATCAATGTTTCTTACTTCCTTCCTCCTCCATCCTTTCCTCTCTCTCTAAAAGCAATGAAAAAAATGTCCTCAGGTAAGGATAAAAAAATAAACTGCACTCATTCATCCCACAAATATTTATGGAGCGCCTATTAAGTGCAATGCATTCTGCCAAGTGCTGGGGTTCCCTGATGAATAACAGAAACATGGCCCTGGGGGATGATCCTTCCCTTCCCCGCCGCCCCCCCCACCCCCACACACACATCACTGCAACCCTGGGAAGCCCTGTGGAGGCTGAGGGCGCTACAGTGAGAGAGCGGTGAGGACCAACTCTGCTGAGGTCCCCGGGCGTGACAGCGTGCCACCTTCCTCATTTGAACTGGAAAATGCGGAAGCAGGAACACATGGTCTTTCCTTTGCTCTGCGACCCCAGCATTTAGAACCCTGTACGAAGAGCAGACCCGCTCTTTCCATCCAGGGATCCAACATTTTCGTCACCTCCTTTCTTATGGTCCGCCAAAAGCTACTCTTAAGGAAAAATTCAAAATTCACTCCCACTAAAGCATATGGACTGGATAAGCATTTCAAGTGTTACTCAGCACAGGGGATTCACAGTTGGGTGGTGGTCAGTCACAGCTGAAGGCCTCATGGGCCTCCGGGGCGAGTGCGACAGGAGACCTGCTATGGAGCTCGGGGCCCTTCAGAGGCAGCGCTGGCGGTAGCCGGACCTTCCCCCCACAGGGCCGGGAGGAAGGACGGCGGGGACGGGAGCTGGTAGGGGTGGGCTACGAGACAGACTTGATACTAGCTGTAGAGCATCACCTAACGCTTTGAGTCTCGGTTTCTTGCCTTGTCAAACAAGTATTTGGCCTCACCCCGTGTAAATTTCAGGGGCTGACAAAGAAATGGGGTAATGGTGTCCCTTCACCTGCTGGTCCCAGGGATTCACAGAATGCATGGGGAGCGCAGGGCAGGGAACCTGCCTGTAGGCTGTGTTGGCCGTACCTCCTCCACACTGGGGTGGTGAGAGGACCAGATAAGTCTGGGGGTGTAGACTGGCATGGGGCCTTCTGGCAGAGAGGAGAAGCAGCAAGGATGCCCCTAATTTCGGCTAAGTCTAGAGTCCTGTTTCTGGGGAGCTGTACTGGGCCTTCCCTCTCACGGGAAATCTCCTTTCTTACTGTGTAGAATGTGAGCACAGTCTTTTTCTCCAAAAAAGATTAAATTAAAATGAAGGAGGTCTTGGCCAGGACGCAGCTCTCCTGAAGATCAAGAACACACAGCAGGTGCTCTGAGAGGGGCGGCTGGCCCGGGCCCGGCCTCTGTCGCAATCCCCAAGCGTGCCGGTGTGTGTGGGATGTCAGAGAACACCTGGCCCTCCTGGCTGGGGCTGCTTGGACTTGCAGAGAAGGGCTGCAAGGTTCCAGCTGGGCCGGATTGTTCTGGTTGATGAGAAACTCGAGGTCTCACACTGGAAGTTGAGAAGCGTGTTGGAATGAGCTTGGTCCTTCTACTTTATGTCCCTCAGAGCCACCTGACAGCCGAAGAGAAGGTCACGAACATCACACCTCCTGTCCCAGCAGCCAGGTGTGGGCTGCTTCTATAGCTCACAGTCCCGAGAACTCTCCTCCACTGGGGACAGAACCGAGGGGACACCACCGGGACTAGCCTCTCAGATGGGGAATGAAGCGACACTCTGGGCTCTCACTCCGCGGTTTATTCCATTCTGAGAGAAAGCGCCAAACACAGAAGATCTCAACATCTTCAAATGCTTGATGCTCTGCCAAAAAGGCAGCTGGACCGGAGTCAACAATGCGACTGTAAACACATGTGCACGACTGAGAGCGGGTCAGGGCGGGTGGTGGCTGGCGAGGTTAGTGCCGGAGTCAGGCTGGACGCCCCTCGGCTGCTCCCTGCCCACCTCAACCTAGCAGGCTCAGGGGGTGGGGGCACTGAGCTGCTTAGCTCCCTCCCCAGTGCTAAGGTCAGCTGGCACCTTGCAGGCTCGGGTACTTGCTCACTGAGTGAACAGGCTGAGTCCCCACCCAAATCCAACCTCCTGGCGAAGTAAAGAGGCGGCCAACTGAGGAGCCCTCTGTGAGGCCGCTTGGCGAAGGCAGCTGCCTGCAGCACGCTACAACAGGACAGCAAGGCTGACAGCCCTCATCTTGCCCATGGAAATCTTTCTCAAGTGAAGGCCTCGTGTGGTGGGACTCTGCCTGACTCTACAGAGCACCCACCTAGCTAGGGATCAAAGTGGGTGCTTCCCTTTGGGTGCGAGGCCCAGAGGTACGTAGCTTCTGAGAGCTCTCCCAGCCCCCCAGGCTATGGAGGGAGGTGCAGCTTCCTCCACCCTCCAAGGAGCCCCAGCTACTTTATGGGACTGTGAGAGTGGATGGGTCCAAGCAGAGGTTGGGGCAGGGAGGTCCCACTGGTTGGCCCCCACAGAGAGCAGGCTGCTCCAGCCAGCGCTGTGACATGGCTGCATCTGCGTGAACGGTCTGGATGAGGGAGAGCCGTGCGGGTGGCCGCATACACAGTGCTTTCTTTGTGTCTGACAGTTGGCAGCCTAGAGCCGAAAACCTCTTGAAACTCCCTGAAGATAATGTGAACACTTCTTCCCATGACAGGGTGCTGTGACTTCCAATAACCCAGGCAGCCCCGTCTGGCTGCCCCCCTGAAAGTGCCGGGGCAAGAATGACGGAGTGCGTCCCCACTGTTGGGGGCAACTACGAAGACGCTGAGGCAACCACCCAGTCCTGGCCTAGTTGCAGGGCCAGTAGGGGCTTGTGAAGTGGAGAACAAGCCTCTGAAGAGGCAGGGTCTTGCTGCAGACACTTCACTGCCACCTGGGAGTCGAGGGAGCAAACACCTCTCTGCTGGCCTACACTTCCCTGCACCGGGGAATCCAGCTGCTGGGACTTCCTGCAACATAGTGTTCACTGAAGCCTCACTATGTGCCAGACATTGTGAGAAGTGCTTCACGTGCATCACCTCATGGGAGACTCATCAGACATCCACGACATAGGTCCTGCCATCACCCGCACTGTACAAGGGAGAAAGCTGGCCTCAGGGAGGGCAGGGAACTTGCCGAAGGCCCAGACAGCATGCCGGAGCCAGGATGGGAATCCAGGCAGGGGGACGTCCCCACCTGCTTCTCACCCACTCCTTGATGCCCAGTCTGTGAGGGGAGCGGGTGCCCCAGTGAGAGGACCCCAGTTTCACCCCAAGAGAGGGCGCTACAAGGAAGGGGCGAGGGTGCTACAAGGAAGGGGCGAGGGCACCACGGGCCCCAGAGGCACGCACAGGCACAGAGCGTTTTCTCCGCCTGCCTCTGCCCTTCCCAGGGGAGGCCCTGCCACACCTAGACGAAAACACCCACAGACCTTCCCGTCAACAGACTCTGGCAAAGCGGCCAGAAACTGCACTCTGGGCTATACTTCCCTGTGCAGAACAAGACCATCTCCACAAGGGATGGGGAGACGGGAGGGTTTTTTGTTTGTTTGTTTTGTTTTTTGGTAGTGAGTGTTGGGAATAAAAGACCCTTTTCAAAACCACTTCCCTTTCAGATCTGCCTTGGATTAAACTCTGGAGACCCAAAGCCACACCTTCCCCCACTTCCTGTAGCCGGCTGGAGCCCAACACTCGCACGCCCAGATTCTTTGCGCTTCAGGCTGAGAGCCTCCACAGATGGTGAGCTCCGGCATGGGAGGTAAACTCAGAGTCTGTCTGGGACCAGCCTTTGCCTGGAAAAGGGGGAGGACCCTTTAACACGGGCCCATTTCCTTTTAAGTGACCTAACTTTGGACTTCGCAGAGACAGAGCCATTGGCCAGATGTTTGCTGAACTCCCTTCTCTGCCAACTTCTGAAGCTCTATCTTTCCTGCAGTTCCGAGTCCCGAGCCAAGTCCTGAGTCCTGGGATGAGGTCGTTAAGACAAGGAGAAGCGCCAGGGCTGCAGGGACCATCAAAGGCCTCCCCCTGGCTTCCTGGAGCCAGCACATCCAGCGACGCTCAACAGTTATGGCCTCCCTAGTGAAAGCCAAGGGCCTCGCTGGCTGGAATGTGGGGGAGGCTGGAGCAGCCACTCTTGGCCAGAATGCCCAGCCTTGGGAGACTCCACCTGAGTGAGGAAGCAGGAAGCCACGGGGCGCGCACTGGACAGAAGGTCCGCCTGGAGGTCTGACTCCAGCTGTCAGCATGAGCGTCTCCCAACCTTAGAAAGTCACCACGACTCCACCTCCACTGCCTGGGTCCTCACAGGGAACAGCAGGGGGTTGCACTAGGTCTCTAAGGGCTTCCAGTTCTAGCTTTCTAAGAAGCTATGATTCTCTTTCTCTCCCATACTGGAGATAAAATAGGGTCAAAAACTGTGAGCTTACAGGGTGGGGGGAGGATTCAGTGATTTCCCCCCACCCCGCCCCAGTGCTGAGTGGCTCTGGGTCCTGGCTAGGAATGCGTATAGCAGCAGAGACAAATGAGACAAATGGACCCCAGGAAGCTTCTTGGTGGTTCATGCGTCCTGAGATAGAGGTCTGGGATGTGTCCTTGGCCAGAGTCCCTGTTTCAGGCTCCCTTTTAGGAGTGTTCAGACTGACCCCAGAGATGAGCTGCCAGGAGTAGTGCATTCCCTCTCGCCTGAGGAACCCACCTCTTCCACCCACCCAGGCTGAGCTGAAGAGGACCCTGTCCCAGGACAGGAGGCCCCTGCAAGCCCCAGCCCATGTGAAGTTCCAGAGATACACAACCCAGAACGGTGAGGCCCAGGTTCTGCTTCCCCAGCCCCGTAAGGGGTTGGACCAAAGTTCCGGTTCTTGGCGAAGGCTGTGTGAGACAGACCGGAGTCTCAGAAGGAAAGAACAGGGCTACTCACTGTCTTCGGGACAATCTGTTTCTTGGGCTGCCCAATCTTGAAAGGAATCCTGTAGGACAAAGAGACAAAGGGGTGTTAGGAGAAACAGGGATATGTCCAAACAGAACTGATGAAATACAGCCCCTCCCCCTGTCCCCAGAAGGGTAAGGAAAAGCAGTGAGGCTCGCTCCCCGCTGCTTGTACCACGTGCCCAGTGGGTCAAGGACCATCATCCTCCTGTGTACAGTGTCAGACGGAGGGCCTGGGCACCACCTTCTGCCCTGGAGCACCTTCCCGGACAGCCTGCTGTTCAAACGCACTGCGAAGGGGAGGGCAGGAGTGGGGAGGCACTGTACAAATAACAGTCCCTGTAACTTGTGTCTCAAGGGGCTGCAGGGCCAGAGACTATAGGCTCGCTTGGATCGCTGTTATCCTTGAAAACAGGTCTTTAAAAACACCCTAAGAACCACATATCTATATTAGGTGCCTCACTACTTCTCCAGAGGGACAGACTGTGGCTCTGCAGGGCTGCCTCTATGGCTGGGGAGAGGTGACAAATTGCAGGGCCATTAAGGACCAGCCAGGCTGGGCTGTTTCCCATGAGAACTGACAAGAGTCTAAATGCTGCCAACTCCTTGAAGAATGTGAAGTCCAGCTCCAGTCTGCCGTGATCTTGCCAGGGTGCCCTGCACCTCAGGCTCCCCACTTAGAAAAGGCAGGCAGCTTGGCATAAGGGCAGGGCCTGGCTGAGGAGTCGCCGCTTGAGCACCAACCCTGCCTCCTTTCCACGGAGAGGGTTGCCCTTTGGCAGGCAAGCTCTGCCTTAATTTCCCACCTGGTGAAGCAAGAGGGTTGAGTTGGATAATCTGGAAGCCTCCTTAAGGCACCGAGCATTTTATGATTCTACAATTCTGGGAAGAAAAGCAGTGTGGCCGGGCTGGAAGGCAAACAGTGTATCTCTCCATCTACAGATAGTGTACTTCATGTCCCCTGCTCCAGGGAGGGGTGTGGTGGGCACCCCTGCGGTCCGTTCAGGGAGAGGGCTCCGGCAGGAGCTCCACGGTACAGCTTAGATAGACCACCACTCTCCCTACTTCCAGTCCCTTCCATTCAAACCTCCCGCTCCCAGGGCTGCACCTGCCCCTCCACACCTTCTTCTCCTGGAGCCTGGCTTCTCTTGGCCCAAACTGACCAACACTGTTGCTAAACCCAGTGGTATAATTAACCACCGATAATAACCCCAGACAGCGATCTGGTTAGAGGACGGGCTGGCCTGAGTCACAGTGGTTTAAATTTAATTTCTGGAGGACATCCTGTTTATTGTTAACCCACCCTGTAATTTGGCAGTGTTAACCCTTTTGGGGCTGGCTGATTCACGTGGCTTCTGTAAATAAATAAGCTCTGGCTATATAATTACCAGGGGGAGAGGTAAGCTATGGAACTGAAAAGGGAAGAAAAAATAAAATTGCTATTTCCCTTTCCCAGACCTAATGAGGAAGGTTAAGGACAGATGGGTTCCTTGGTCCCTTCCCTGGGCCCCCAGTTACATGCCCCCAAATCAGATTACAGTGGACTGACATGATGGTTTTGGACAGTGAACAACTGCCCTCAAGGACCATTTTGGTGACAGTGCAAATGAGGTCCAGGTGGCATTGCAAAAAGACTGATCCTGTTTTGCACGAAGCATGTGGCGGTGTAAAAAGACTGGACCGGGAACCAAAAGACCTGCTCTCAGCCTCTAACTAGTTCTGTGATCTGAACAAACGGCAGTCTCTCTGGAGCTCAGTTTTTACACCCTAACACAGAGGAGTTGGAATAGATGGTCCTTCCAGCTCATCTACAATATCAGTTCTAAACCAAATCTCCATTCTAAGAACATGGGGGACAGGGTGAGCGTGCTAGGCTTCTCAGAGTGGCCTTCGAAAGGATTCTAACTCGGAGCCTCACACTACAGACGAGGTACCAAGGAATTAGGAACTCAAAGTCCATTATTGGTGGAACCACAGCCTCTTTCTCAATCTTAATTTAGAACAGCAGTATTTTTAGAACTGTAAGTTACCATAGAAATCTCCCCCGTTTAACCCTTTCTTTTTGCAGAAGAGAAAGCAGATCTGGAGAAGTCCAGTGACTAGCCCAGGGCCATTCTGCCAGGTCACCACAGAACCAGGAATGCACTGCCGGGGCCCCAATGTCCAGTCCAGTTTTCTAATAGTTCAATACTTGCTCACACAAATTTGTCATACAGTTGCCTCTGGGTGCACAGAGGAGACGGGGTCCAGGATTCCCCGCAGACACAGAATTTGCAGATGTGTACGGCCCTGAGACACCACAGCACAGAACAGTGGTCCTCTGTGTCCGCAGCTTCCCAGCTGTGGATGCTGCTGTCAACATGCGGCTGACTGAGCCCACGGATGTGAGACTGCGGGTGCGAAGGGCCAACTGTGTGTATTTTAGGGAGCTATGCATGCTCATAAAACTTAAGAAATACAGAAAAGTATAAAAGAGAAAAGGGGGAGGGGGGAGGAAAAAACAAAACAGTCTAGTCTCCTATCTAAAAGATAACCAAGGTTATTATTTTGGTGTTAATTAAATTTCAAAAATTAGCAGGAAGGAAAAAAAACTGAAGCAAATGTGCTTAATGTCAGTAGTGTTAACTCTAGGCAGCGAGAGTATGATCACTGTTCTCTTCTTTGTACTTTCTGTATTTTTCAAATAAACTAAAAAAAATTATTTTAGTTTTCTTTTCGACTACAAAAATAACACCTGACCAGTGCCAAAAATATGGAAAACATTGAAAAACACAAGTAACAAACACATACATGCTCCCAAAGAAAATAAACAGTAATAACCTAAACTTCAGTATGTGTACACGTGTACACATGTACACATGCACATATACACACATTTTAAAAACAGAGGAAACATGCCATGGTTTTATATGCCAATACAGTTTTCAATGGCCTGATTTTTGAGAGTGACCCAGTGCTCCATTACATACCTGTACCACTAGTTTTATTTTCGTAACACATATTACTTACTGGTGGTCACGTCGACTGTTTTGAATTTTCCTCTTATATTCTAAACATTCTCGGTGCACACCAAGCACTGGTCACATGGGGTAAATTCTTAGGGTTGAAATTGCCGGGTCAAAGGATATACACGTGCTCAAGGCTTTGATATATTTGCCAATTGCCCTAGAGACAGACTGAAACAATTTGCATTTTTTAAAAGATGAAAATAGTTAACATTTTACCACCAGCCATTTGGCTGGTTTATCAGGACTTTTCCTGGGTTGGGGTTTGCATTTTCCCTTTGGACATGTGTGTGTTTAAGAAACTACTTCTGTACAGAAGCTTCTGCTGAGTATGAAGTCAAATCCAGCAAATTTCTCTTCCTTCGTGATTCCTTCTTTTGGTGTCATCATACTGGGAAAGATCTGCCCCCTCCACCTCAACATAAAAATCTACCTTTCATGATTTCCTTTTATTCATCTAGGTCTTACCTTTACCAAATTTATACACTCGATTAGCTGAGTGAGGCACCGGGCTTCGTTAAGTAGAGTATGAGGCTCTAGGCCCCAGAGTCTCATGTCTGAGAGGAGCACTGTCACCTGTGCTGGAGTTTTGGTCTGCACATTCCCGTCTCCACATAAAAATGCTTGTATTGCTGCCTTCTGAGCATTAGGTTTTAAGCACTAGCTACTGACTTTTTATTTTGGAAGAGGAAGATTTAACTAAGCAAAGAAAACTCTTCGTGGTCTCCACTTCTGTAACACAAAGGCACATTTGCAACCCCATTCCTCTCAGTACAGTTCTATTATGACTTGGCGAGGACAACACTAAGTAAACTATTAGGAGCATAATGGGATGCACTTTCCTTCTGCACATGGCAGCCAGCAGACTCTGCAGCTCAGCCAGGCACTCAGAAGACTGCAGTTCTGGCTGACGCACACTGAATTGTAACTTACAGAGTTCCCAAGCCAGACTACCACTCTGAAATTCCTGACCCATGGAAACTAGTATTGTTTTGAGACAATAAATTTTTGTGGGGCAATTTGTTACATAGCAATATATATACCTAGTAGCACTTCATAATTTTTTGTTTTCATTAATTAATAACTGTCACTTTTCTTTCATAAGCTTGATTTCATGTATTTCCCCTAATTCTATCTCAGTTGTCTAAATGTCTTCCTAACACACTCATTTCTATCAGGTATGCTATTACTGCCACTATGGCCTGCTCCAGCCTGAGTGGATCAGCCCGCCGTGGTGTGCAGCAGGCCTCCTGGGCTCCCCTTTCACCTTCCTCACAGAGGTTCCTTCTCCCTGCCCAGGTATTTTGACATCTGGATTCAGTGTCTTCCTTTTTTTTGGTTTACTCCTCATTTGGGTGGAGAAAAAGTGTGTGGGAGAGAATTTTTGAATCTCTGCTTACCAAGACACTTTTTAGTCTACTGTCACACTGGTCAGTTTGACCGGGTACAGAATTAGTGGCTGCACGTGATCTCTTTCAGAGTCCCGACGGCACTGCTTCACTGGAGACTCACTTCCCAGTACCGCTGACTTCCGTCCTTTGGATGTGACCTGCTGTTTGCTTTCTTCACGTAAGCCTGTCAGTTCGTATGTTCATGTGCTTTGTGGATCTAATTTCATCCATTGTGCTGGGGTCCTCAACAGGACTCTTTCCATTTGGCAATTTATAATCTTTAGTTCTGAGATTAAAAAACAAAATTTTGTCGTTGTTGATCCCTTACCCCCCCTTTCTTACTTTCAAAATTCTACAGTTTTGACACTGGCCCTCTTTGGCTTGTCCTCTAATTTTCTATTTTTTCATGTTTCCTTATCTTTTAACACTTCCCAAGAGTTTTTAATTTCTCATATTTTTAACTTCCAAGAGCTCTTTTTATTTTTCAGAATGTTCTTCTATTCTGTTTTTACTTCATGGATGCCTTATCTGAGGCTCTTAATGATAGCTTCACAAAAGTTTCTTCTTCCTTTATAGTTTGTTTCCCTTCAAGTGGCTTTTTTCCTGCTTTAGCCTTCATTTTTCATGCTAAATACTTCCCTTGGA